GAGAGAGAGAGAGAGAGAGAGAGAGAGAGAGAGAATAACCTCCCAGCGCTGCCATCTTACTAACTGTGAAAAACAAGTCAGACAAACGAAATAATATAGTAATAACTAATAATAACTATTCCTCTTATAGTACTCACTCCCTTTTGGCTCTAAGCGCTTCACAATAACAGTTTATACAGTAGCGGGTCTCACGCATACCAGCCTAGGCCTTCTTAGAGAAGCCTTAGTTATCAGCCCATTCAACGTACAATTATTTCAATTACATATACACCCACAGCCTAACAAAACTGCACATAATATAAAAAAACAACAACACATATTCACTATGGTTGCTTTGTTATTGGAAGGAAGCAATATGTCTGTTTGAGTATTTTTTAAAATTATTATTATAGTAGAGGGTTTAACGGCGCTCGCAACTGCATAAGGTCATTATGAGCGCCGGACGATTAGAGGTGTTACAAGAGAGTAACAAACATAAAAAAGAAGAAGGTGAGATAAGAACGATAGATGTCTCATAGGAAAGAAGAAGCAAACCACACCAGAGCACCCGCCAACCACCCACTGTTTGAGTATGGAAAAGTTTAACGATACAATAACAGCCATGTGGTGCTAGAAAAAAAGCAAGACACGTAGACACAAGAGACGGAGGGGAAAGCAATAGAAGCTACCAGTGACGCACTCTTACAATCCGTCAACGCCAAACATAATAGCATTCAGCAGCAAGAATAACGTTGTCGTTGTTAAGTAAAGAGAAGCATATCGACACAAAATATCCATTTAGTGCTGGGGAAAAAGTAAAGCAGACACAGACAGAGGGAAACAACTGAAGGAAAGTAAAGAAATAGGACCTACCAATGGCGCCTTCCAACCACCCCCTCCGCCCTCCCCGAAACCCCCATGAAAATAAAAATGAAATAAAAACAACAACCCCAAACAAACAAGGAAAAGAAACGCCACAAAGAAACCGCGAATATAAGATCGAAGATCTCCGGAACTCATCTCTCTGCAATCGGCGTCCTCGGGTTTAGAAGTGGGGAAGAGGAAATAGACACTCGAGCACAGAAAAACAGACGTTCAGACACGCAACATTTCCCCCCCCCTTACCAGGACGAAACTGCTCATTACGACACGGCACGTCCGTCATTTTTGGCGGGACAGAAAAACCCCCACACACAATAAAAAAAACTTGACAAGAATGAAACCTCCCGAGTACGCCCTGTGTAAGGGAGTTCTTTGGCTTGTCGTGGGGAATATAGAATATAAACACTCTATGAGACAAGAAAATGTCATTTCAAAGCGGTTGAGGGAAATGTACACGTACATGCTTCCATGTACACTCACACAGACGCACGCACGCACGCGCACAC